GAATCTATTGACTCACTAAGATCTCTTACACAATGATGATCACAAAATCAATAAGAATATTCAATATAGTGGATATGAGTCTCTTTTCCCAACCTTAACGGCATGACGGCTTCTGTTACTTATAGCAATGGACAAATTGATATCTGTGCGACCGTAGATTCTCGCCCATGTTTCTACTACAGTGCCGGGTCTTTATTTCTTTCTAGTTATAGAAAGCGCACGAGATCGTTGATACGGTCTGCAGGGCTGTGCTGACGAGGGGGCCCAGCGCGGGCAGGAGGGTCGGGAGGTCGGAGAGGGGCGGGTGGGCGAGGAGGGTGTCTGCTTCGGCGGGCGTCAGGGGCGGGGCTGACGGGTCGAGGAACGCGGGCAGCAGGATGAGGAGGTCGAGGAGGGACGGCGGTAGGGACGGCGGCTGGGCGGCGGGGCGGGGCTTGCCGATTGTGCCTTTTGGTGCTGGGGCTGGGGGTGGTGTTGCTGTTGCGAGGGCGTGGGTTAGGAGGTGGTGCTTTGCGTGGGTTTTGCGGTGGGCGCGGAGGTCCTTGGGATGTCAGATTTTCCCTCGAGGCTGGTATAGGATACCTACGTTATGGACGGATTCGCGCTCTTTGCGGAGGATATCGTTCTTGGTCGAACCGTCTGGGTTGAGGATGACAGTTGTGAGAGTGTGGTGGAGGGATGCAAAGTCGGGATTGTTGTCGAGGATCGACTGTTCGACGGGCGGCAGCATTGTGCTCGGCCTGAATGGAAACTCTCTCTCCCTCTTTCTCGCTCAAATGGTTGGTTCGTACAAGCACATGAGATTATTGGGTTGGCATGGTCGAGACATCATCCATCTGCCCACCGCGACCTGCTACATTACTACGTATACAACCCAAAGTGACCCCCCCCTGAACCCCTCACCCCTCACCCCTCGCGAACCCGACACGATGTCACCTGATTGGCAGCACACAAGCCTGAACCCCCCCTACCTTTGAGGCGGATTTTTCCTGAAGCCGATCCCCGACTCGAATCGACCATGCACGGAAAAAGTACGACTCTCTAAGCTAACATCACCTCTCTTGAAGCTTGACAATCCGGCCATCACGAGGTCACGGAATCTTCAATTGGCACTCGAAACAAATCCAAGACCAATGCCACGACGATAGCACGGCACCTCAAACTCGAACACACCCACACACCTCCCTCACAATGTCGACGCTCGCCGCCCAGCGCGGCAGCGCCCCCCTCCGCGGCCTCACCTCGTCTCTCAGCTCCCTGTGCCTCAAGACGTCCAGCAGCCGCACCTTCTCGACGACGCCGGCGGCGCTGACGAAAACCATTGCCCTCCACCGCATTCCCGCCTTCCCGATCCCCGACTACCCCCTCGGGCCGCGCCTCATCTACAAGCAGTCCAACGGCGGGCTCTACGCAACGGCCCGCATCCGCCGCGGCAACAACATCTCGTCAGACCACAAGGTCAAGACGCCGCGGGCCTGGCGGCCCAACATCCACCGCAAGCGCCTCTGGTCGGCGGCCCTCGGCGTCTGGATGCGGCCCGGCTCTCGCTGCGCGTGCTGCGCACATCCGCAAGGAGGGCGGCCCTCGACGCCTACGTGCTCAAGTCCAAGACGGCGCGCGTCCGCGACCTCGGCCCCGGCGGCTGGAAGCTGCGCTGGCTCGTCATGCAGACGGGCCGCCGTGCGGGCGCGCTTCGCCGACGAGCGCGCGCGCCTCGGCGTCGTGCGGCCCGCGGGCGTCGAGGACGAGGACAACACGGACCTCGTCCACGTGCTCGTCGACGGCGCCACGCCGGGGCCCCTGAGCGCCGTCAGCAGGGCCATCATTGCGCGCCGCGCCGAGGCCGTCGCCGCCGACAGGATGGCCTGGGACGTGGCCGCGCTGCAGGCCCAGGGCCAGGAGTTTGCCCTCGGCGAGGAGGCCGAGCTGGCGGGTGACGAGGACGTCAGGGGCGCGGGCGAGCAGGTCGGCGGCACTGTGGAGGAGCTCGACGCTGCGATTGAGGCCATGGAGAAGGACGAGGCCAAGAGGCCATGATTTGGGAAGGGGGGGGCCGATGCGGCGACCCTGTGTCTATTTGTATCATATGTGTACTTTTCCGTCTTCTCCCCTGCCCGGACAGATGGCCGGCACAAGATGTATCCCTGCATACTTTTTCTTTGATGAACGGCCTCGATGATCGACAAGGGGTGACCATGACAGTGGAATGCAGCCATCGAGGCCAGACATGCGAGCGTTCATATGGGATACGCTCAGCTGGCTTATTTCACTCAACGGCATACAATACATACTCGATGGCATACCGACAGCATTCACAACGCAACGTCGCACCGCAGCTTCTGCCAAGTCTGTAGAATCAAATCTTGAAAAATCAGGCTACCTTTTGTATCCCATCAAACGCCGTCGGGCCCCTACTCTAAAACCGCAAGTCCCAGCCAATCTTAGGTCCCAGCGTCGGCAGCTCATCGGCCACGCTCTGCACGTCCTTGTCACCACGTCCACTGAGGCAGATGACGACGTCCTCGTCCTTCTTCATCGTCTTGGCGAGCTCGAGCGCACCATAGATGCCGTGCGCCGACTCGAGCGCGGGGATGATGCCCTCGAGCTGGCTCATGAGGCGGAAGCCGATAAAGGCCTGCGCATCGGTGGCGACAACGTACTGGGCGCGGTTGCTGTCCTTCCAGGAGCTCAGTTCGGGGCCGACACCCGGGTAGTCGAGACCGGCCGACACGGAGTGCGTCTCGGAGATCTGACCGTGCTTGTCCTGCAGGACGTACGTCTTGACGCCGTGCAGCACACCCTTTGTGCCGCCCGAGAGCGTGGCGCTGTGGCGCGCCGTCTCGACGCCGTCGCCGCCAGCCTCGACACCGACAAGCCGGACGCTGGGGTCGTTGGAGAAGGGGTAGAACATGCCGACGGCGTTGCTGCCGCCGCCGACGCAGGCGACGACGGCGTCCGGCAGCTTGCCGCGCTTCTCCTGCATCTGGCGCTTCGTCTCCTCGCCAATAACGGACTGGAAGGTACGCACAATAGTCGGGAACGGGTGGGGGCCGATGGCGGAGCCGATGATGTAGTGAGTCGTCTCAAGATTGACGACCCAGGCACGCAGAGCCTCGTTGACGGCGTCGCGGAGCGTGCGGCTGCCGGCCTCGACGGCCACAACCTTGGCGCCGAGGAGCTTCATGCGGAACACGTTGAGGGCCTGGCGGCGCACGTCCTCGGCGCCCATGTAGACGGTGCACTCCATGCCGAACTTGGCGCAGACAGTCGCCGTCGCGACACCGTGCTGGCCGGCGCCTGTTTCGGCGATAATCTTGGTCTTTCCGAGGCGCTTCGCCAGCAGGAGCTGGCCCAGCGCATTGTTGATCTTGTGGGAGCCCGTGTGGTTGAGATCCTCACGCTTCAACCAAATGTTGGCACCTCCAGCGTGCTCTGTCAGGCGCTCAGCGAGGTGCAGGTGGCCAGGTCGGCCCATGTAGTCGTAGTAGGACCTGTACTCCTCCCAGAACTTGGGGTCGTTGTTGATCTTGTTGAAGCCCTCCTCGAGCTCAGACAGGCAGTCCATCAAACTCTCTGGTACGTACTGCCCACCGAACTCGCCAAAGCGTTCGGGAATCTTGCCGTGCATGGCGGCGAGCTGCGCGACAAGGTCGCTGTCCTGCTCGGCAGTGATGGTTGCGGATACGGTAGGAACGGCCTCGGGAGCCTTGGCATCGGCAATGGCCTCAACGATGCCGACTTCGCGCGTCGTCTCGTTCGCGGCCTCGGGCCTGCGGCCGCCGAGATAGGCGCAGTACTCCTCGAGGTCCTTGAGGCGGTTCTCAGGGGTGGCCTTCTGCAGGGTCGTGATGATCTGGCTGCCGACGACGACACCATCGGAGAGGGTAGCGAGGCTCTGGAAGTGTTCGCGGGTACTGACGCCAAAGCCGACAGCGGCGGGCTTGTCGCCGCTGTACTTCTTCACGCGGGAGATGAGTTCGGGGAGGTTGGCGTTCAGGGAGCCGAGGGCACCGGTGACGCCTTGGCGGGAAACGACGTAGATGAACGAGTCGGCGAGCTGGCAGAGAATCTTCATGCGGGCGTCAGACGTGGCGGGCGCGATCAGGGGAACATAGGAGAGCCTGCTGGGTGTCAGTACAACGGCCAAAGACTTCAAAAACCCCGAGGACAGGTATCCATGACGTACTGTCCCTTGTTGCAAAGCTTGCGGAACGAGACGGCCTCCTCGGGAGGCAGATCGACCACGATGAAGCCGTTGACGCCGCTGTCAGCGCAGTCGTTGAGGAGCCTCTCCTCGCCGTAACTCAGGAGAGGGTTGTAGTATCCCATCAGCAGAACCGGCGCCTTGAGGCCCTTACTCCTCGCATCCTTGACCATCTTCAGTGTGGACTCGATCGTGACGCCATTTTGCAGAGCAATTGTGTTGGAGGTCTGAATGGTCGGGCCGTCGGCGATAGGGTCTGTGAAGGGCGCGCCGAGCTCGAGGATATCTGGCTGTGTCAGGATGAGAAGTCTTATCGAGGGCTGGTCCATTGTTAAGACTCACCAGCTCCACCCTTCTCCATGGCGAGGAGGATATCGGGCGTCTCCTCGGCCGTGGGAAAGCCGGCGGTGACATAGGTCACGAGGGCTGACTGTCATCGCTATGTCAGTCATGTCTTCCCCTCGACTTGAGCTTGTGGGCTCTCGAGACCATGTCGTCGTGCGTGGTGTGTTCGGTGGCGGGGGCAGAGGAAAAAGTGCCCCGCGATTGGGGAGAGGGGCAAATGGAGGCTGGACTCAACTCACCCTGTTCTCGGCCTTGCAGCGCTGAAATGTCTTGCGAATGTGCTCCATGGTGCTGCCGAATGTGCAATGATCCCAATTGATGTGCAGTAGGTTGAAGCTTGCTGCTGGTAATCTCAATGCGGGGAGGGGGTCAAGTTGTTCTTAAGAAGTGGTGATGTAGAGGCGGTGGGGGGAGGGAGGTCAGTCATCGGTCACTTTCGCAGAGATGCCTACTCGGCCCAGGTACATAGGTAGGTACGTAGCGCCGTTGCTGGTGGGCACTGAAGCTCCGGCGAGGCTAGTCCTACGTCGGAGTCGCTGCAGCGGCCAAGCCGCCGAGCGCTGCGCTCCAGCTTCGGTGCCTTGGGTGCCTCCTTCCAGTGAGAGTGCTCGAGGCTCTGGGGGTGGCAGTGCCTCGAGCATTGGAAGGGGCCTAGTGCCTGAGGTAATAGAGGGCACAGGGAACTCGTCGCCACCGACCGATGCCGGAACGGGTGGCTCCTCGCACCTGCCCCCAGCACTTGGCAGCGCCGCACTTGGCGATCGCCAGCGGAGGTGCCCAAAAAGGGACGCACATGTTGTCCTCCGCCACTGATACAGACCCTGACTCACCACCAAAGCCTCCGACTCCGACACCGCTGTCGATCCGGGGCGGCCGTCGTGCCATCAACTCCGACGAACAATGCAGGCCCCGATTGAATACACGCAAAACATCGCAATTCTCAACGGCTCATGGTTTGCAGTGTAGTTTATTTATCTTCCCAGCCACGACAAGTCAATCTGGCGCGTGGCTGGACTCACCACTACAATACCAAATTCATGCAGTCTGCAATCTGTGTGTGTACCATGTGCCGTGTGGCCAGAGGGCAAACAAGAGCATACTCCAAGATGCGCAAAGAAAGAGAATGGTATCTTCAACCCCTCCAAAAAAAAAAAAAAAAAAAAAAAGGATGCAAAGCATCAAGGTCAGGTACTTGGAGCCCACGTCCTCTATGCGAAAAATGATTTCCGTATAACCCGCCCAAAATTTCAATCAGATTCCCTCGGCGCGCCTCGCTTGGACCTGTATGCAAAAAATCGTCTCGTCTGCATGGAAAAGGAGAGTCTCTCTCGGCCTTGGGTCCAGCCGTCAGCCGGAGGAATGAGTTCCAGGTCGTTCCATCGTCCATTCTTTTTTTTTTTTTTTTGTGTTTTGGTTAGACTTTCTCCTTCATAGTCTTCTCTTTCAAGTGGCTCAGAACTTGTTGCCTGACCCTTCAAACTGCCCATAGGAGCTTATCCTCTTGGGCGAGGTCATCGCCTGTGCCCTGCCGCCCGCCACCTTGGAGACATACTTCTCGTTCTCGGCCTCGCGCGCGTAGTAATTGTCATCGTCCGTTCGGCCCACCGCTGAGGCTTCGCTGCCAAAATGGGGGAACCGCTCGTCCGAGTGGTGCGCCGCCTCACGGGGCGTCAGCGGCGGCCTGGCGTCGCCCGTGTATCGCATGCCGCCCTCGCCGCGTCCCTTGTCTGGCATGGCCATGCCGACGAGCGCGCGGATCACACCGATGAGAACAATGATGACATAAACGAGAAGGATGCCGGTGGAGATGAGTGCTTCGGTGACGATGTGGCTGCGGATCTTGTCCACGACGTACTGGACGGCGCCTGTCACCTCGTCGGTCGTGACAGAAGACGGCGTGGCCAGGAAGGTCGTGAGATCAGAGTCATCGCCGATCGACTCCTGCGCACCCATGCTGAAAGTGTCGTTGGCAAACTGGGGAAGGGTGACCTTGGCATGATCGTGCACCCAGGTCAACCCCTTCTGAACGGCCTCGACCTTGAGACCGATCGTGCAGAAGATGACGTCCTTGATGGGCTTGATGAGGATTGTGCCGTTGAAAACCGTCTCGAGACCAGTCGCCATGCCATCGGTGAACGTGTTGAGCGTGTCGTTGACCGAGCCTGTGGCCTCTCTCACCCAGCCGAGAAGATCGTTGTTGATATCATCCTGGGTCGAGAGCACCACGCCGTTGGCGCCATCAGCCCACTCCTTGGATACCGCAGCCAGGCTGCCGACAACGTCCTCGGCGAATTCGCCGACTTGGTTGGCCAGCTCCGGCACGGTGCGTTCGATGGCCTTGAGCAGGACAAACTGGCACAAGCAGGCAAAGAAGCCGGCGAGCGCGAGAGAAAGCACAAAGAGCGCAGGGAGAGACGTCGCGTATGCAAAGGCCCAGCGCGCGAGAATCTGACGCTTGCCCGAGAAGCGGGAGGCGAGTTTGATGCCCCATGAAGCAGTCGTCGGGCGCGAGGCGATGTAAATGACATCCATCGAGTCGTACGTGTGGTCGCCGACAATCTTGGCGTGCTGCTGCTGGCGGCGCCATCGCTTGATCTCAAACCAGGCCATTGGCACGATGCACAAGACGGCAAGCACCGTGATGACAACGATGAAGATGGTGCGCGCTGTGCGTACGAGGTGGCGGAGCTTGTCGAAAAACTCGGAAATGGTATTGTTCTCCGAGCAAAAGTTCAGCGCCTGCTTCGAGGCGACGGGGAACACGGAACGGTCGAACCGATAATCCTTGTAGGCGTCGTCGATGGTCTCCTTCAGCAGGTTGAAGGGGATGGCGATCGCCTCAGCTGTCATGTTCTGGATTTCCCTAAAGGTGGGTAGATCGTCCTTCAGTTCGTCCAGATCACTGACGAGACCATCCGTGTTGATGTTGATGTCCTTGAGGTCGCCGATAGGGCCAGATAGGTCAAGGTCCGGGAAGTCAGGGAAGACGCCGCCGATGAACGAATCTTCGATGCTGCTCTTGACATTGTTGATGCCGTCTTCGATATTCTTGGCGCGGGACTCGAGGGTATCGGTAATCTTGCTGATGGCGCTGTTCATGAGGTCTGTCACCTTTTCGGTGACGTCGGAAGCAACATCGAGACCGCCGTGAACGAACGCCGCGATCAGGCAGACGTACATGGAGGTGACCATGTTGATGACGAAGAGGATGAGACCCTGGATGCCGGTGAGGAGAAGGCCAAGCACGGCGACAAGCCCATCGAGGGTCTTCTCGATGCCCTGTGCGGACAGCTCGTTGACGCCGACAGAAAGGTAATGAGGCATCGACGCCATGGCGCTGCCGACGTCTTCAACCTTTGTGCAAGCCGAGAGGGCCTTGCGGTTGGCTTCATCCACATCCTCATCAACGCCGGCGACCATGAGAAGGACTCGTACGAGCACGAGAAGAAGAAGAATAGTCCAGCGGTTGATCCATACTTGCGAAAGTCTGGAACGGAGGCTGAGGTAGGGGGTGAAGGTGGGCGCTGTGTCGGCGCGAGCCATCTGCGTCTTTCTAAGCTCAGACAGCTCGACCGAGTCGGAGCGGAGGGAGTCGGGGACGGCTGGGTAGCCGGCCTCCTCCTCCTTGTGTTTTCGTGTGAATAGCATGGTTGTTTCTAAGATGTGTAAGAATCTGGTATGTATGTACTTTTTGACGTTTCGTTTCAGACTGCGAAGTCGCTGTGAAGACGATGACCGATGGGCGCAACAGAAGTGTAATGCGAAAAGTCGATTAGATGAATCCGAAGGGGAAATAAAGAATTAACTGCGAGTGAAGGAAATCACACAAAGGAAATTCGTCAAGACAAAAGTTGTTGAACAAGGTCGCTGATCAATTCATCGTGGGCAGTTGGGCGTGGGTTGAATAGGTTGACAATGGGGGGGGTTGTGTGGTAACAATAGGAATTGAGGTTCTAGAGGGGGGGCAGTGGGAGTGATGCAACAATAAGGCAACACACAGCGTCGGAGAGGTTCAAAGTCGCGACAGAGAAAGAAATCTGCTCACCTGATTGTAATGCACGACAGCTGAAACCAATGACGGCGCTTCTTTACGAACTCTTGGTCGATTTTACAAACGACCCAGGTTGCTTGGGGTCGTTTTGTCGGAATCGACTAGATGGGCTCGGGTTGAGGTGCACTCGTTAAGCGCTTTCGCGATGCCTCTCAGCCAACCAAACCCGTCGGTCCGGGGTATAGGTGAGCGGCTCCCCAAACGTCGATGGGGCCCCAAGGGGGAAATGGTCGCGGCCCGGTGGCTCTGATGGTTCGAGATTGAGCGCTTCAGAGATAATTGTAGGGCTGTGCTGGCGGGTAGAGGGTCCTTGGTAAAGAAGGGGTGTCGTTGTGGTTGTTGGTTGTGGCCTAGAGTTCTTGCCACTCTCTTCTCCTATGAGCTGCACTGATTCAACAAAAACTTGCACGGTGACTTTTCTGTGATATTCCGTAGGCGCCCTCTGTGGCTTGGCTTGAAGGGGGACGGCGTCGAGATATACAAATATGTATCTGGGTGAGTCAAAGGCAAGGGGACACCACGGAGTGAGAAGTTGATGGTGCCCATCTTTCCAAAAACGCTTTCTGAGAGGCGAGGCCTCTGGGATGTACATTTATCTGGCTGGTTGCCCATCGCTTCACTGGGCCGCCGGCCGGCAGGTTTCGTGTCGGCAAGCAAGGTTGCGAATGCAGACTGACGACATTGGCACAACCAGTGAGTCGGTTCCTGCTCCCAAGCCAAGACAAGAGTCGGTGGACAGCTTCCAGGTGGGCACAGGCACAACCCCCCAGACAGCTGGCGGTGGTGGCGGTGCACCTTTTGCTCGCGTGCTGGCGGTTGTCCAGGGGGATGGACGGAGGATGCTGCTGGTCTTGGAATGCCTGGAAAGGAGCTTGGTCAGGACCCTGTGCTCGGGACTCATCGCGACTGGACGCGCTTGGAGGCGGAAGGCCAGTGAAGGTCGAAGCGACGAACAGCAAGGCAACGATCGCCGCGACAAGGTTGAGACGAATGGACGGTTGTGACGGGGGAGGCGTCCATCCTTTCTGTTTAGGCAAGTTGGCAGCGAATCAAGTGCCTGAAGAGGCCGAGTCGGATGACCCTTGGCCTGACCCCTGTCGCTGAATTAGCTGGTCGTCAGGGCAGAGGCACGAAGGGTCCAACAGTTGCCGTGAACGTTGCCAAGCATCGCCACCGTCAGATTGTGCCACCTCAGGGTCTGCCAGGGCCTGCCAGGGCCACCAGGGCTGCCAGGGCCTGGTGCTGCCTGTGATGGAAAACCGGTTTGCGTTGCAGAGGCACGACCAAGATGGGGGGGGAGGTCAGATGGACTTTGGACAAACGAAGCAGAGGAAACGATGATCATGCCGCTTCAGGATCATGACGGAGGGCGACTCACCAAGAGACTATGTGTTTCAGAAGATGCGGGAAAGGTTCTGGAATGCTGTTCGTGGGCCGACTCTTCCCACATCTTTCCGCTCGACGGCTGTGCTAGATGGAGCTTGGAGCCGCAACGTGATGGCGGGTTGAAGATGGCCAAGTGTACATGTACAGTACCATGTACCCTACCCCACCTTGCCCACCTCAGTCGGAGGCGCTTCCTTCTCTGCATCTCCGTGACCCTCTTGACCTGCACCTATCTCCAACCTCTTCGAAAGCACGTGATGTGCCTGATCTGAATCTTCCTTCTCTCATTTGGCATGACCAAAGCCTAACGTAAGCACCCACAGCCAGTGTTGTCCCAACGCGGTTCTCACATGATTGGCGGCACAGCACGTGAGAGGGGCATCGCCTACATCGCTTGCATCGCCTGCATGGTGAAGCCTGTCAAAGCAGTTGTCTAAAAAACGATATATGATGGCTTCAGTCGCTGAACACGTCCAGCAGGGACGTCAAGAGGGGTCCTAGAGGCTTTGGTTGGGCATCACTCGCACTTGCACTGCACTTCAGATACGCTACCTGCCTCTGCCGCGGCCCTAGGAACAAACGGCGTCCTACTAACTACTGCACGCCTGAAGAAGAGACCAGGGCCGCATGGTGCCGGATGAAGGTCCGGCGGAGCCCATCTCACCATCGGCCAATTGCGTGTGCACAATCGCTGAAGAACCCGCTCTCCCCGCTAGGGACCGCCGAAGGCCCGCTGAGGAACACGCGAGCGCCCCCCTCCCCCCCACCGGATGTCCACGCTGCCAACGGCGGCCATCGCGGTTAGGTCGTAGCTTGAACCTTAAGGCACCTAACCTCGCTGTGCCCCCCGTTATACGAAGGCCAGTGTTGGTCCCGCGGCGTTGCGCATGTCGACCCAGGTCGGTATCGGTATTTCATTTACATAGTATGGGACTCCTCTCCGCGCGCCATCCCACCCTGTCATGCAACATGCAAGGAGCTTTTGATGCGTCAGGTAGCCACGTACGTACTGAAAGAGGAGGCAGGGGCGGAGTAGGGACAAGGCTCAACACGCCATAAACTGCTCAAACTGTCCTTCAATACACGTCAGTCTATGCTTTCTCTCCACCATCAATCTTCTTGATATCAATCATGGCTGGTTCCTCGCCCGCACCTGTAGACAACGCCCCGGCTGCTGCTGAGGCGGTAGCCGCTGTTCCAGAGTCTGCTGCTGTTCCCGAGGCGGCTGCTGCCCCGGCTGCTGCCCCGGCTGCTGCCCCGGCTGCCAGCGATGTTGACGACAATATCCTGCCCGGCCGCCATTGGATTGCTCAGGTACGAGCCATATCTTGGGCGCGCGGCATAGTCGTACTGATTCATGTGCCCTAGGCCGAGAACGATGCAGATTCGTTTGTCGACAGCGTAGGCGACGAGACCACGGCCTCTCTGAGGTCCAGCATTCGTAACTACAGGGAGATCAATGGCAGAACCTACCACGGCGAGGTCGGCCAAGCCGAATACTGGTCCGTGAACCACCATACATCGCTGCACATGATGCCTTGTTTTTACTGACTTGTGATGAAGGGGCCCCAACGATGACAGAGCGCAAGAGGGGCTTGACATTCAGTGAGTGTTTGTGTACCGATGGTTCCACAATGTATGGCTTACGCCGAACAGCCACCACGCCTGTTTCCTCCTGCTGGGTCACAAGCTTCATCTCGCCCCACTCCAAGAGGGTATCCAAGTGAGAATCGATGCAATCCGAGTTAGTTGCTATTGTTAACGTATGGGTCGATAGAAAGTCCTTGATATCGGAACTGGAACAGGTAAGGAACCTATCACCTTTAACAGGAGCAGCTTCTAACATGACACAGGTATCTGGGCAATGTGAGTGTTTGCGGACACTATTCTTATCGTCATGCAGCAGCTCACCGTCCATAGTGACTTTGCGGATGAGTTCCCCGGCGCCGAGGTGATTGGCACCGACGTGTCGCCCATCCAGCCCTCTTGGATCCCGCCCAACCTCAAGTTGTATGTTATTTTCTGGCCCTCCGGGTCCGCTGCGTGGTGTACATGCTGACGCTCCGCGACTCCCGCAGTGAAATTGACGACTGCACCCGAGAATGGACATATGCCGAGAACAGCATTGATTACGTCCATACTCGCTGGCTCGTCGGCAGTATCGCTGACTGGACTGCTTTGTTCAAAGAAGCATTCAAGTGCCTCAAGCCCGGTGGCTATCTCGAGAGCCACGAGCCGTCGTCCGGCTTCGAGAACCAGGGCGAGCCCCTGGACCAGAAGAGTGCCTTGGCTCAGTGGGGCAAGTTCTTCGTCAAGGGCGGACAGAAGTTCGGTCGTCCTTTCACCGTCTTTGAGGAGCACATCCAGAGAAAGGCGATGGAGGCGGCCGGCTTTGTCGACATTGAGGAGCGTGAGATCATCGTACGACCACCCAACACCTGACCTCCCACATTGCATATAACTAACGTGGAGACAGAACCCCGTTGGCAACTGGCCTGCCGATCCCAAGACCAAGGAGATTGCCCAGTTCTCTGAGGCGACCTTCCTTGAGGACCCCAAGGGATACATCGCCTTCTTCGCCCACGCCCTCGATTGGACGACTGAAGAGATTGAAATGTACCTCTTGCGGTTCCGCCGCGAGCTCAAGTCGAGCAGTCACCGCGCCTTCTATCGCCACAGGGTCGTCTGGGGCAAGAAGCCCCTGGTCTGAGAGCCTGACCTCAGGTCAACTCAACAGCTTCGAGGAGACACTTCGTTCAAATTGGTGAAACTCCAAGATTAGTCGCGTGGGAGGCAGCAAGCATGATACTCTGGATTGGGAGGGAAATGGTATTGTTTTTGACTCCGTAGCTTATTATAAAGCAGTGGCCTGCCTGTGACGGACAGTCCTTCTCCTTTTCCCTCGCCCCCGTAGATCACGGAGATTCAATCAGAGGCCCACTTCCACATCTGTCTCGTTCGCCTTGGTGCTGTCTTCACGTCAGAGCTCGAACCGAATGAGCGGCAGCGAATGAATTAAATGATCCGAGAAGCAATGCAACTACACGGGTATGGTGATGCGTGGGGAATCAATGGCTGCAGTGAGTAGATAATTGGTCACAGCTGTGCACTGTAAAAATCATGGAGTAACGGAGGGTTGAAGGCTTCATAAAACCACGGAACTAATGATGACAGCATATCGTTCACAGGCTGCCCGAACATCGAGGACTCATTCGCAACTTGCATGCGAACAATCCGTTGTGCTGACCTCTTCCATACGATCACGTGCACACGGATGTGAACCACCAAGAGACCTGGGACTACCACGTGACTGTAGCATTTTCTCCGATACGGTCACAGCAGTTTTTGCTTGCAGATTTTCAGCCCTTCCCAATCGAGCAGGCGGTCTAGGCGCAATGCTCAAACCTTCCTCACCTGTCACCACCACATCACCCGCCAACAGCCTGCCGCTTGATTCTCCCCTCTCCTCAGTTCAACCACCGCTTTAACCCAACAGTCGTCCTTGACTCCAAGAAGTCATCGACAGTGTAGTCGCGAAATCTTCAAATCTGTGACCGGCAGCATTTCATCCACAGCGCTTGTCGTTCTTACGCGGTCCAGACACGTCGAAGCTTCGTAACCCTCGCAGATCTTGTCTGTTCTCTCGCGACCAAGGTCCTGCAGCAACACTTGTGCTGCCTACGCGTCAATATTCTTGAATCAAACGAGCCTCTTGAGCAACAGGAAGAAGCGTGCACCATGGCTGAACAACCGCGCGACCTGTCGTCGATCCTCGCCGCCCTTGGTAAGCAAGCACCCGAAACATGTGCCGTGCACAATGTCAGGTCTCAAGCCTGTCATGCCGTTGTCCCTATACCTTTGTCTGCGGTCTTTCGAAAAGCTGACTCGATGATCCACAGGCGCTGCGCAGCGTGGTCCCTCGACGACGCCCACACAAGGACAACCACCTGCTCATCCCGGTTACCCCCCGCCCCCCGGCGTTCAACAACCGCCTCCCTCTTACCCTCCTATGCCCCAGGGCGCGGCTCCGCCGCCACACTATCCTGGCGCCAGCGGCTACCCGATGCCTCAGCCCTCGGCCTCTGGCAGTGTCGACCTGAGCTCTATCCGCCCTGTCAATTCTGGTACCGTCAGCCTTGCTGATGCCATTGCTCAAGCCAAGGCTTTCGCCGCCGAGAAGGGAGTTAGCTCCTACGATCGACCAGTCGTGTACGCCAACGAGCCGCCTCGCGGACCACAAGACCCTCGCGCTTACCAGCAAAACTCTCGGTCCCGATCACCACCCTCGCGCCGTGACCCTTACCGAGACGGAGGCAACCCCTACCGCGACGAGCGTCGCGAGGATCGAGGCCCCTCTCGCGACTACGGCCACGGCGGTGGTCACGGTCGCGAGCGTTCCTACTCCCCAGGCCCCCGAGGCGGAGGCCGCACCTTTTCTCCCAAGAACGGCGGTGGCGGCGGCCGTGAGCGCTCCCCTCTACGTAGCAATGGGGGCGACGACCACGCCGAGACCATCCAGATCGAGTCCAGCCTCGTGGGCCTCATCATCGGCCGACAGGGCGAGAACCTCCGTCGCATCGAGGGAGAGAGCGGCTGCCGTGTACAGTTCATGCCATCGACCGACGGCGGCCCATACCGTTCGTGCAAAATTTCAGGCCCAAGGCCACGCCGCGCCGAAGTCAAGACTGCCATCAACCGCATCATCGAGGACAGCGGCATGAGTGTGATCAACCGAGGTGGAGCCCTCAAGTCGCAAGGTGATCCGCGCGCCGGCGGCATGGGCGGCCCTGCTCCCAAAGAAGGTGAAGACTGCCTGCAGATCATGGTGCCAGATAGGACCGTCGGCCTCATCATCGGACGTGGCGGTGAGACGATTCGCGACCTCCAAGAGCGCTCCGGCTGCCACATTAACATCACGAGCGAAGCTAAGAGCACCAACGGCCTTCGCCCCGTCAACCTCATTGGCTCTCCCCAGGCCGCTGCCATGGCCAAGGAGGCAATTCTTGAGATCGTCGACAGCGATAGCCGTGGCGACGGCCAGCCGGTCCCGCCCAAGAGGGGCCCTCGACAGGACAATTCTCGAGATGGTCCTAGTGGCGGTGGCGGCGGTCATGACAAGATCAACGACACTATTCACGTTCCATCTGAGGCTGTTGGTATGATCATTGGCAAGGGCGGCGAAACCATCAGGGAGATGCAAAATAACACTGGGTGCAAAATCAATGTTGCCCAGTCGTCTGGTCCTGGTGAAGTTGAGCGCGAAATCGCCCTCATTGGCAGCCGTGAAAGCATCACGCAAGCAAAGGCGGCGATCGAAGAGAAGGTGGACGCAGTGGTAGGTCCTTACAACCCTTGTGAGGGATGAGCATTCTCAGCTAACATGTCAACAGCGCCAAAAGAGCGGAGGTGGTGGCGGTGGACGTGATGGTGGTGGCCGTGGTCGTCAACAACAGCACCATGACTATGACAATTACTCGCAGCAGGCTTCTAATGCTCCAGCACAGGCTAACGCTCCGGCGGCTCCGGCGCCGGCAGCTGCAGATGGATCTGATCCGTACGCCCAATGTATGTTTCTCCCCCCCCCCCCGGCTGTCACTGATTTACCTTTACTGACTTGATTCCAGATGGCGGCTACCAGAACTACCTGGCCCTTTGGTACCAGTCATTGATGTACCAGCAACAGCAAGGTGGTAGCGCTCCTCCAGCGGGCGGCCCCCCAGCTCCTGGTGCGGCTTAGGTGCGCCAGGGCTGCTCCTCGTCGACTTGGGGATGCATCCTTGTGTGATGTGCATGATCTTTCGACCTCGATCAACATGATGCCTCGCAATGACCGTCTGACGCCTGACGAATTCTTATGCGTGCCCGCCTCTTATTGAATGGTGCTGCATCCTCAACGCCATCGTTGATTCGCCCGATCGTTGATTTCAAGATGCTGTTTATTGCACGTCTCACCTATTTGGAAGGGCACCACATTCGCCTCATGATACACGACCACGGGGAAGGGACCACTTGTTTGACGTGTGTCGTTCGGCCCCCGATGCACATGTCCAAGCTTTTGATTGACGCGCCATGACGCCTCTTGACGACTTGAACTCTAATGCTCGTCCGCTTCTTGCTGGGACCTCATTCGCACGCATATGACTTTGAAAGGACGTTCTTGGTGGGGACGAGGTTCGGCCAGATCCATTGGACTCGCATGCTTTCCTCGTGACGGTTGCGTTGATCCTTCAACTGCACGAAACTTCCATCGGCGAACAACGTTTCTCCATCCTACTGATCATCCGTTTGGAATTGCCTTGGATATCGGTCGTGCCATGGTCCTACCTACTGTCACCACGCTAGGATTCGCCATCGACTGACGGTCGTTGTCCACCTTGAACAGCTTGCTACTATACCATGTGCTGGGTGACGGTTCTTCTGTGGCATTCTCGCCAAGGACAGCTCGTCGCGATGTCCCGCTCAAGTTCACCGCGCAGACAGAACGATAGGACATGGTAGTCCTGTTATCCCAGCGACACTTTCCCTTTTCCTTTTTTTTTCTTTTTTCCCTTGCCTTGTTTATTTTTCCTCCTAGCTTTGGCTTCATGTTTATGCGCAGGCGTTTTGCGCATACATATCTCTGCCCGGTTACTTCAATCAGAGGCTCACGAATGGGATGGGCGGGCACCATGTGGTAGGCCAGGTTTTGGCCAACAGCAAAAAAAAAAGCATGGAGGTGGTGAATGGACTGTTGTCCACATGTATCAGATAGTAATGCGGTATACCAGTCAGCAGCTGTCCACGATTTGAGTGACTCTCGGACGCGCGCTTGGGCCTCGTCGGCTTCATGCTGCCTTCTTAAACGTCTCCGTGACGACCTTCCAATAACGCGCAGAGTCGATCCGGGCGTGCGCCACATGTCCGCTGCCCACGAACCGCTCTCTTCTCACGTCCAGCCCTCCAGCCGCCGCCTCGTCGGCGTGCGCTTCGACATCCTTCCAGCCGACCATCTTGTCGTCCGCGCTGTATACATACGTCCGCCGCAGCTCGGTCGCAGTGACCCGCTCCTCATTGAGCGCCGCCGCCGCCCGGTCGAGGGAGCTCGAGCGGCGCAGCGGCACGTGGAGGAGCGAGTAGATGGCCAGCAAGAGGTACAGCACCGGCGCCAGCGGCCAGGGCAGCCCCGTCGCGAGGGCGCCGTGGGTCCTGCGGAAACGAAAAGGGGCGGGGCAGGAGTCGAAGACGGCGACGTGCGGGGGCAGAGCGGCGGGGCCCAGGAGGGCGAGGAGGCGGTGCAGGGTTGCGGCGCCGCCGTTGGAGAAGACGTGCAGGCGGAGGCGGTGGTCGTTTTCGCTGGCCGGCGGGGGCAGGCCGGCGATCAGGGACAGCGCCGGGGCGAGGGCGGCTTGGGATCGAGAGCGTGAGAGGACGTGCGTGGCTGGGTGTTTGATGAGGAGGAGGCGGGTGTGCGGGAAGAGGATGAGGTGGTAAGAC